AGCCCACACTGATTAGTCTTCAATTAGTGTTATCGCCATGCACAATTGTGCGCGCCGGCCACATGTTAAGCGAAGAAACTGTTTACAACTCAGAATAGCTTACTAAGCGAGATGGAGCTGGTAGCAGCTGTGTGACTGCCTGAGGGGCAGACTATCGCCTTCTACTGTAGAGGCAACATGTTGATTCTCGTCAGCCAACATCTTCCTGCAGGACATTTTATTTGCTCTCGTTGGTCTAACCCAAGACCCAAAAACGTGAGTGTGATTGTGAACTGTTGAATCCTCTGAGAATTCTAAATAACTTTAATAAGTATATTGATCGTATTATTCAAATTGTGTGTCCTGATGTCCAGTTGTTCTATGTGAATTGTATTCAATAGGTTTTGACCGAATTATACTCATCTTGTCAACGACAAGAGTCTTATTGTCCTGCACAAACCAAAATCGCTCCTATGTATTTATTTGTGTACGAACCTCTGTCCTGCATGGCAGTGAACAGTAACATCACCCACATGAATCTGACCTATATATAGTGTTAATGAATATGATGTATTTCTTTGTGTATGAACCTCTGTCCTGCGTGGTAGTGAGAAGTGATACCACCCTCAGTGTCAAGACCCGACTGAATTACTCAGAATAGGCAAATTGTACTCCAAGCTTTGTCAATAAATTAAAAAAAAAAAAAACTTAATACTGTACAACCCATTTTGTACTGCTTCCCCATTATATTTATGTTTTCAATGCCACTGTAACTTATGTATAATACTTATAATATAAACGTAAAAAAAAAAATAATAATAATAAAAAATATTCAAGAGATAACCGTGGTAACATTCTGAGATGTTCTTATTACCGCCATGCTATGCGTACTATTCCAGATGGTACTAAATGTTACATAATACTTCCTTGAGATAAATGTACAGTATACAGTATATAGGTGTCTACAGGAGAGCTCAGGTTCTCAACTGGCTCAGCCAAGTTAATATTGTTATTATTATCCACTCTGTATCTGTGTTTTTCTGGCTAAATAAACTGTTGCAATTCAATTCAATTCAATTCAGTCGAGTGTCCTTACTTGGAGCTAGCGGACACTCGCCCCTCAAGGGATTACAGCTCAAGATTGAAGAAGCAGCATGTCCAGAAAACTGTGAGGGCAAACTTTTTCGGAGTGAGAGTTGTGAACTCTTGGAACAATCTGCCAGAAAGTGTTGTGACGGAACAGAGTGTGAGTTCTTTCAAGACCAGACTTGACCAACACTGGAGCAGGTTCAGGTAGCCGGTTGTAAGGGCGGAAACGATCTTCCTGATCGTTACCGCTGCTAACTCTCTCGTTTGCTGGTGTGGACGACACTTGGGGCGGTTGGACAGGGGTGAGAACGGCAGCAACTCTCTGGGTCACAGGCAGATTCAACCCAGCTTCCATACAGTCACTATCTAGCTACCCAGCTGTTCGTCAAATTCTGGCTGTGATCTCATCATAGGTCCTAGACTTGTGGGCTGTGTCCCCAGACCTTCACTTATCGACTGTCAATTCTCTGGTCATCTACCACTACCACACACCACGACCATCAGTTCATCTCATTCCGTCTGGGCCCCGGTGTTCTCCTTCCATTTCAAGACGTCCCTTGAGTGTGGAGTTGAATGGACGCTTCCCTACCCTGAGTGTGCATCACCGTGTTCCAGAACCTACCCCCAGGGCCACTGCCGTAGGAAATATCTGTTCATTGTTTGATTCTATCAATTGTTGACTCCCATTAATTGTTTGATTCTATTAATTGCTGATTCCCATTAATTGTTTGCTCCCTTTAATTGTTTGCTTCCATAAATTGTTTGACTCCATTAACTGTTGACTGACTTAAGTGTTTGACTCCCATTGTTATTTGATGTTTATTGAGTGGTGTCACAGTTTTGTGTTATATTTTTTATAGTAGCCTAAAGAGATGTCAATCTCAAACGGTTGTTTGTTATTCCTCAGAAAACCATGGTCCTTGACTTTCCTTAATTAAGAACCTGATTAGTTCTGGTAAGGGATTTCTATCCCTAAGTCCCAGGCCTTTACACAGGTGCATGCCCAGTACTTGCCAACAGTGCGTAACAGAGTCAGAACATGTCTAGTGCTTGCCAACAGTGCCTGACAGAGACGTGGCCGATTTCCCAAGAGAACGAGCCGATCAGTGGTAAAGAGGATAAAAGTAAGTAAAAAGGAAGGCGCCACTTCAAGCATTTACATACATTTCATTTAAATCAGTTGCTGTACACTAGCACCAAAAAGTATCGGTGCAGGGTGAGATCGACGACTTCCGAAACGATACGTATGCACTGTGATATGTCGGGAAGGTTGGTAAGTGTATCCTCATACCCCCACTAGGTGTTGCCATATGGCTGACAATCAGTGTGTTTCTTTCCTCTTTTCGGATTGTTGCTTTGTGTCGACTGAATGATGAGCGAGGGTTCGGTCTTGGTGAACGTGGGTATAAAACAGAGGCAATATGAAGCAGTAGAGATCTACACATGCCAGACGACATGGAAACCTTAGAGGGAACACGAGAAGCTATTATTGCCCTTCATAACGAAGGGTTCGCCTACGGGTTGGTGTTCACAGGAACACCGCTGCACGATGGATTCGGCGATACCTCGAAACTGGTGCTACAGACGACAGGTCTCGGAGCGGCCGTCCACGCTGCACCACCCCTCAGGACGACCAGTGGTTTATTTGGTAGCATAAATTAATGTGGCAATATTCACAAGTATCACAAATAATTTTGTTAACAGGGAGCTCCTCATATTTCATACTGTCTATTTATCACTTCCCGACCTTATTTATAATAGTTTATTTCACTTGACCAGGGCTGGCAACATACGGCTGGAATAACTCGCCTTTCCTAATACCTATCGTCACTGGTCTCAAATTGTTCACACGACAGTATGCACCGATACTTTTTGTTGCGAGTGTACATTTGGCTATGAAAGTCAGTGTTCTGGGTTAGATTAATGTCTTAAGTCTATTGTTTATAATATAATCAGTGTTCGAGCTTGCAAGGCAAAAATGAACTTAACGTCAAACACCCAAGCTGATAACGTCATTCTTATAACGTTAGCAAACAAGGAACAAGAGAGAACTGAGATTTTGTCGTTAGATCTTTGGGCGATAAGAAAATGACATGTTCTTTCAAGAGAATAATTACTTTCTAAAATCAACTGACAATAATTTCAATGCAATCATCAGATTCTCTGATGATTGGGAATCAAAATGATCTAACTTCAGTAGCAATTGGAAACTCAGGGCGTCCCACAGGACATCATAATTCATCACTCTGACTTGTTTGACAATTTTACTAAAAGTAAATACAATTGAAGCTTTTAACATCACTCACAAGGAATCTTGAATGTTTCATTTGTAAGTAGACATATCTAACTTAATGTAACACATATGCATTCAAATTTCGCAGCATGACACTAATGAGCGAGTAGGAGAAAAGGGAGGTTATTCGGCAGGCAAAAAACTTAGCAAGGAGCGAGGCATCTCGGAGTGTATTCATTCACGCAGATCGCACGGTAATGCAGAAGGAACAGCACAAGAAGCTCATGCAGGACTTGAAGCAGAAGAGGGAGGAGTCAAGGAGGAACGGGGCCAGGGGGCAGCAGCGCACACTCCACCAGCTCTACCCCCCCCCACCCGGAAGGTGGCACCAGCTCCGCCTACCAGACAGGAGGAGGCGAGCGCTGTGTAAACAATGACATTTCTAACCACACCCTGCAAAATACAGTGTACTTTGCAAATGCTGCAGCTTCTGAGAATGGGGGGAGTTACTACTAAAAGCAGAGACGTTACCGAGAACAAATTCTGGCTTGAATGTCATGTACACTAATACTGACACGTTCCTGGTAGAGTGTTCCAAGAGTTCACAACTCTCACTCCGAAAAAGTTTGCCCTCACAGTTTTCTGGACTTGCGGCTACTTCATTCTTGAGCTGTGACCCCTTGTGGGGCGAGCGTCCGCCAGCTCCAATTAAGGACACTCGACTGAGTAGTGCCCCTTGAGATGCTTATACACCTCCAATCTCTCAGGGTAGCTGAGGTGCCGAAGGGCAGGCACTAAGTCTGGTGGCCCTCCTTTGAACATTTTCAACCAGCTGACACAGTCCCTAGTATATCTCGGGGACCAGACGGGGTGACAGCATTCCAGATGGGGAAGCACTTCACTTTTGAAGATCGTTACGAGGGACGGACCGTCTAGATATCTGAACGACCTTCTTATAAGACCCAATAATTTATTTGCCTGATTTACCTTCTTCTCGCAATAACCCGAGAAATTCAGCTCATTGTCAACATACACACCTAGGTCCTTCTCACATTCAGTCTTAAATAGGGCAGTTTCTTCATCCCGATAAATATGTCCGTAAAAATACCGACTCCGTAAAACAGGGTACAAAATACAGAGCGCAGTCCCTTGAGAGTTCACTTTGAACGCCTTATTCTCTGCATAACAGGTATGTTACGCTGTGTCTGACACCGTCATATTAAGCGAATTTGACTTAGTTGAATTGTGTTGAAAATGTCAGTGTTCCTGCTTTAATATAACTGAAGGTTTGTGGGTGTTAAGTGTTCGGGCTCATTTATTTCCTTTCACCAAGACGTATTTTTGTAACCGTTGTGTTTTGATTTATATCACTTTGAGCGCCTTATTCTCTGCATGGCAGGCACTGTATGTATTGCTGGGACTGCTAATGGTCAGTGGCCAGTGCAGACAGGATGTATTGAGTAAACTATGATTGAGCCTGAGGTCTACTGGTACAGCGGGGTACGGAATTAAAGACCGAATCCAAGACTCAACTTCAAAGCTTCAGCTCGACTGCGGATTCGGTGAGTGTGAACGCACCCAATGTTTGGATCTCAGGATTCCCAGCAAGGAAACTTTCCTTGGATCCCAGTTGGTATAAGCCAGGTGGTAATTCATCCAGTATGTCTCAATCAGAAGTATAGTGTTCTCACTGAAAAGGTCAATACCGAAGTGTTCTGTGCTGTAAAGAGGGTTAACAGGTTGTGTCATAGAGTCCTGTTAAGCGTGTGTGCCCAGAGTACACAAATATCAGCTTCGTGACGGATTTTTTGGAGTGTTATAAAATATAAGTATAAGTGGTAATGAAATGAAGTGGTGAAGATTCATTATTTTCATTCTCGTAAAACGTTACAGTAAGTTGTAGTATTTCTAAAGACCAAGTGATCCTTATAATTAGTATCCGTGTTAACGTAAATTTGGCCAAGTCTTGAGTGAACCCCAAGGAGTGGTTCATGTGTTTGTCTTTTTCTTTTCTTTTGTGTTCTAGTGATGTGTGCCTATACTCGACTTCATTGCAATAAGTAATCTTAATGTTTTTTGTGATATCATTGCCACTGCAGTATCCTCCTTTCATACTCCCTCATAATTTGTACCAGTGAATATACATTATAACCCACGAGCCTAGGTTAATGTTATGAAATATATTCTGATAGAAAAACCTGGGTGGTGGCACCTAACGTGAGTATTGAAGATTGTAAGGTAGCAAGGTAAACCTATGACCAGAATATAATTAGATAAGAGAAAAGTAACAAAAACTAAAAAGACTGAGAAATTGAATTTGAAAAAACTATAGAAACAATTTTTACTTAAACAAAGAAGTAACATCCGTAAAGATAGTAAGTATTAGATAAGAAACTAAAATAAAAAATTAAAATATAGAAAATATAATAAAAGTAAAGATTAATTGAAATAAGAAAAAACTAAATTAAAACAATTAAAAAAAATAAAGATGTATAGGAGATAAAATAAACTAAAATTATAAAGACAACAACAATAATCCACCCACACCAGTACACCCTTAGTAGAGTAGGACAGGGAAGACTCCCCATTGAGGAGGAGGACAGGGAAGACTCCCCATAGAGGAAAACTGCGAAAATCCCCCATTGTAGAGGAGGAGGACAGAGAAGACTCCCCATAGAGGAGGAAGAGGAGGAGGTCGGGGAAATCTTCAATAGTGGAGGAGGAGGACAGGAAAGACTCCCCATAGTGGAGGAGGAGGCGGACAGGGAAGACTCCCCAAAGTGGAGGAGGAGGAGGACAGGGAAGACTCCCCATAGTGGAGGAGGAAGAGGACGGAGAAGACTTCCCATAATGGAGGAGGAGAAGGACAGGGAAGACTCCTCCGTAGTGGAGGAGGACAGGAAAGACTACTCGTAGTGGAGGAGGAGGACAGGAAAGACTCCTCCGTAGTGGAGGAGGACAGGAAAGACGCCTTGTAGTGGAGGAGGACAGGGAAGACTACTCGTAGTGGAGGAGGAGGACAGGAAAGACTCCTAGCAGTGGAGGAGGACAGTAAAGACTCCTCGCAGTGGAGGAAGAGGGGGAGGGCTGGGAAGACTACCCGTAGTGGAGGAGGATGACAGGAAAGACTCCTTGTAGTGGAGGAGGAGAATTACAGGAAAGACTACTCGTAGGAGGAGGACAGGAAAGACTCCTAGCAGTGGAGGAGGACAGTAAGACTCCTCGCAGTGGAGGAAGAGGGGGAGGGCTGGGAAGACTATCCATAGTGGAGGAGGAGGACAGTAAAGAGACCCTCGTAGTGGAGGAGGACAGTAAAGACTCCTTGTAGTGGAGGAGGACAGTAAAGACTCCTTGTAGTGGAGGAGGACAGTAAAGACTCCTTGTAGTGGAGGAGGAGGACAGGAAAGACGCCTCGAAATGGAGGAGGAGGACAGGAAAGACTTCCCGTAGTGGAGGAGGGGACAGTAAAAGACTCCTAGCAGTGGAGGGGACAGTAAAGACTCGCAGTGGAGGAGAAGAGGGGAGGGCTGGGAGAAGACTTCCCATAATGGAGGAGGAGAAGGACAGGGAAGACTCCTCCGTAGTGGAGGAGGACAGGAAAGACTACTCGTAGTGGAGGAGGAGGACAGGAAAGACTCCTAGCAGTGGAGGAGGACAGTAAAGACTCCTCGCAGTGGAGGAAGAGGGGGAGGGCTGGGAAGACTACCCGTAGTGGAGGAGGATGACAGGAAAGACTCCTTGTAGTGGAGGAGGAGAATTACAGGAAAGACTACTCGTGGTGGAGGAGGTTGAGGAAGACTCTCACGTGGAGGACAGTAAGACTCCTCATGGTGGAGAAGAGGGGAGGGCTGAGGCTATCATAGTGGAGGAGGAGGACAGTAAAGAGACCCTCTGGTGGAGGACAGTAAGACTCCTTGTAGTAGAGGGAGGGACAGTAAGACTCCTTGTAGTGGAGGGACAGTAAAGACTCCTTGTGGTGGAGGAGGAGGACAGGAAGGCCTCAGAGAATGGAGGAGGAGGCCAAGAGCTTGTAGTGGAGGAGGGACAGTAGGGCGCTCTAGCAGTAGGGAGGACGTGAGGCTCCTGGAGGAGGAGGACAGTAAAGACTCCTTGTAGTGAGGAGGACAGTAAAGACTCCTTGTGAGTGGAGGAGGAGGGACAATAAAAGACTCATGTAGTGGAGGAGGAGGATAGGAAAGACTCCCTTGTAGTGGAGAGGAGGAGGACAGGAAAGACTCCTTGTAGTGGAGGAGGAGGACAGTACAGGGCTGCCTTAGTGGAGGAGGAGGACAGTAAAAAGACTCCTTATGGCGAGTGGAGGAGGACCAATAAAGACTCATATGAGTGGAGGAGGACAGGAAAGACTCCTTGTAGTGGAGGGAGGTACAGGAAAGACTCCTTGTAGTGGAGGGGGAGGAGGACAATAAGATTCCTTGTAGTGGAGGAGGAGGACAGGAAAGCCTCCTTGTAGTGGAGGAGGAGGACAGTAAAGACTCCTTGTAGTGGAGGAGGAGGACAGTAAAGACTCCTTGTAGTGGAGGAGGAGGACAGGAAAGATTCCTTGTAGTGGAGGAGGAGGACAGTAAAGACTCCTTGTAGTGGAGGAGGAGGACAATAAAGACTCTTTGTAGTGGAGGAGGAGGACAGGAAAGACTCCTTGTAGTGGAGGAAGGAAAGACTCCTTGTAGTGGAGGGGGAATAGGGCGGAATACTCACCACACCGAAGACCAGTGCCGTTCCAGCTCCAGGAATACCTAATGAAGGACGCACCCAGCCAGGAGGTAGCGCAGGGGCCAGTGTTAACCGTATCGTAGCATAAGTCATGCGACCGACAGCAGCTGTCACACCAGGGAAGGGAAGAGGTGCGGAGGAAAGGAGAGTGACAGGGGTAAATGAGACAGTTAGAGATCAAATAATTTACAAGTAATAGAGACAAAAATTTCGTAGGTTTTCGCTGTATGTCTCTCTCAGTCATGTGTGTTTCAGAGATATTAGATGAGCAGCAATGGTGTTACTGTACCTTTGAAAGTTTTTAAATTGAACAGAATGGTGGGTGAGTCATGTTGTTGTGGGAAGGTGGAGGAGTAGGAGTGTGGGTTTGGGTTACTGTCTTAACCGAACTTGGCATACATTATCCCACACATCACCCAAGAATGTAAAAATAGAGCCAATTAGTATTTAGAACTGGACTATGAGAATAGAGTGTCTTCTGGCTTATAATGGAGGAGTCACGAGGGAATTGTGATACATATGTGAGTTATGTCACGACAAGTTTAATAAATTTGAACACGATACGATGAATATAAAGTGAGATAGAACATTACAGTATATAATATGTAACGTTGTTTGGCCTGCAGTGGCTTGTAACCAAATTTCATTGTATTGTATAGGGAGCTACATTATGACACTACAAACCATTTCTCCGGCATTCGCTGACCAAAAGATATAGGAATTTAAGCGAAACATAAACAGTATATATATATGAGGGTTACAAGTGTTCCCTGAAGAATGCAGTGATGGGTAGGGAAACACCGGGTAACACTGAAGTCCGTTTATTAAGGGATAGGAGAAATACAAGTGGTGACTAGCGTGTGCCATGCACGGCTCACACAGTCAGACTGAGACAGCCTTGCCATATGGCAGCCTCGGGGCAATGTTGCCACATAACGCGTGCAGTGTTGCCACGTAATTATATATATAAATGCTACTCGGCACAGTAGCTTATTTACAAGGTTGCTACTTGGCACAGTAGCATAGATACATAACCTACATCTCCCTCCCCCCCTCACGCTCATAGTCTTTGTCTTGAGCGGACTTCTTAGTCCTAAGTCGCTCCGAGCGTCGAGGTGCACTGTGGGGCGGATCCTCGTGAGGTGTAGGTGACTCGTCCTCGGCCAGGGGGCCAGCAGCAGGGGGTGGGACTGGCCGGAGGAAGCGGCGGTTCCTCCACCAGACAGCATCCTGTCATGTAGTCCTTGACAGCCAGCATGTCAGCTCCCAGGCACCAATCTCCAGTGGCTGAAGAGGGCGGGCATGGTCGTCATACCGAGCCTTGGCGTCCTGGACACGTGAAGCGGCGCGGCGGTCGCAGCTCTCGGCTCTGGTCTGCCACTCCTTTGCAAAGGCCTTGGCGTGTGCAGGAACGCAAGAGCGGAGAGGGTGACCATACAGGATCTGGGCAGGGGAGCGTCCTGTGTGGGTGGGAGTGGACGCGGGTTCTGGGCAGCTCTGTGTGGCAGTGCAAGGCGCGTCGCTCGTTAACTCACGCACCCTGCTGGCAGTGTACCGAGCAGCTGGGATCTGCTCAGGAAAGTCTCTGGGCACCACGCCTAACTCCTTGCAGTGCTCCCACGACAACAAGGGTGTAGCGAGAGTAGGCCGCACGTCGATCCATCCGTGACACGACCTGTCGCCGTAGGTGATCTCTGCTTGAAAGGAGCCCACAGCGTCCGGCATCTGGGAACCGTCCGCATTGTAGTACAGCAGCTGCGGCGGTGGTCCCAGGTCGCGTTTGGTGAGGCCCAGTTTCTGGAGGTGCTTCAACCCAATCACCGTAGTATCAGCGCCGGTGTCCGGTATCACCTCGATGTGACCCGACACATCACCGTGTGTGACGGCGACGCGGATGGTAGAGGAAGGGGCGTGTGGTCGATTCCACCCTCCTGATGTGACTCCGCTGCTGTTTGGGGCTGCGTGGGCCATCTGGAGGGGGCTGCGTGCGAACCACCCCGAGGGAAGTGCGCTGCTTTCCTCCTCGTCTCGGGCTTTTGGGCTTGGGTTGTGTCCATGACGACCGCCAGGCCTGACGCAGGGGACTCATGCCAGTGGCCCTTACGGTCACATCCACGACACAGTGCGTCGGCAGCCGGGCATGTCTTGGGGCTGTGCTGCTTTCCACAGCTGCCACAGGAAGCACTAGGCGGAGGCGTGGAAGAACGTGCGGCAGTCTTCACGTTGTTGGCCGCCTTCTTACCCTTCTTGTACTGTGAGATAGCTCTCACAGCAGGTGGGGCCCGTAAGGCAGAGGTGGCGGACTTGGTGGCCTCGTACAACCGACATTCAGTCACTACGACCTGGAGTGTGGAGGAAGCGTCCAGGGGGATGAGTCGCTGCACCAACTCTTCGTGCCTGACACCTGTCAAGATCCCGTGCTTGATCCAGGCTTCCTCACATTCCCGGCTGTGCGCCTTGCAGACGTCAATCTCCTCTGACAAACTCTTCAAGCGTACAAAAAAGTCGTCAAAGGATTCGTTCTCCCCCTGCTTGCAGCTGGTGATGGCGCGGCGACGCAAAGCCTCGTTATTCCGACCTTTAACGTGCTCCTGTAAAAGGTCGAGCACATCCGTCACTGAAGATGTAGAATCGGGAGGCACTTGCAACGTGTGCTCCAAAACTCTCTGGGTTTCCAGCGACAAACACATCCGCAGTTGGATGAGCTGTTTGTTTGGAGGCATGCTGTCAAGGTCCACCATCGTGGAGTAATCTGTCCAACGCCGCCTCCAATCACGAAAAAGCTGAAACGTGACGTCTGGTGAGAGGGCAGGTGGGGATTGAACAGATGCCTTGGGAGCTGTTGGGGTAGCAAGAGTATCTGGAGGATGCTGGTGTGGTGGAGGAGGGAGGATATTGGCGCCTTGGTGTGCGAAACCTGGGAGTGAGGGAGGGTGGGTTAGCGCCAGGGTCGCCAATAGTGCCTCAAAACGCAACTTTTCCTCCTCTCTTCGTGTCTCCTCCCTCTGAAGTTCCATCTCTCTGCGTCTCTTGTCCCGGTCGTCCATCCACCTCAGAATTGTGGCAATGTCCGTCGCTGGAGGTGGAGGATGAGAGTCTGCGCCCGGTGGAGGGGAAGGTGGTGGGGAGTCGTGTCTCCCATCTTGACGTTGTCCCTTCTTACCGCCCATCTTTGTGTGTGCGTGGACTGCACTGTTTAGTATATAAAGTGGCGCCTCAACAGCTCGAACCACATATATATGACATAAACAGTGTAGAAATAACGCATAGAGCCCACTGTTCTGTCCGTGAGTGAGTGCGTGCGTGCATGTGTGTGTGTGTGTCTGAGAGAGCACTTCGTGGTGGCCTTAATGCAGGTGGCTAGAGACGCGGCGGGGGGTGAGACCGTCAGTGTCTCCCGGGATGTCACACGAGAAGGGTGTACGCCTGCGTGCTCCGTGGGTACCACTAAAAAACAGGCCAATGCTCAACTCTCAGCTCTTGACACACACTAATACACTGACACTAACACTGCCACCGTCACTAAAAAGCACTGTGACGGCCCAACACTGCACATCGCGGAGAAACACAGCGCAACACAACACAACACACTATGAGTCGACGCGCATATCGCCGGCAAATGTAACCGTCGGCATTGTTCACACACTTGTAAAGTCCACAGATCCTAGTCACTGCGCCATGATGGTTACAAGTGTTCCCTGAAGAATGCAGTGATGGGTAGGGAAACACCGGGTAACACTGAAGTCCGTTTATTAAGGGATAGGAGAAATACAAGTGGTGACTAGCGTGTGCCATGCACGGCTCACACACTCAGACTGAGACTGCAGTGTTGCCACGTAATTATATATATAACTGCTACTCGGCACAGTAGCTTATTTACAAGGTTGCTACTTGGCACATTAGCATAGATACATAACCCACAATATATATATATATATATATATATATATATATATATATATATATATATATATATATATATATATATATATATATACTATAGGACTAGCCATGTGTCTGTCTGTCTGTCTGTTCTGGGCAGCCGAAATGACACAATCGTTTTTCATCAAACTTGGTGGAAAAATCGCAAAAAATTCGTAGAGTGGAACAAACCTGGTCCCATGTCGATGGTTTCTTTAGGAAGCCATTAATTAACCATTTTATTTATGCTGGAAAACGATGCAAGTCTATGGACTTGTAATAGGCCCCTGTCTTATCAACAGAACATATTATATAAATGGGTCAATACACCTGATATTATATTCAGATTCACCACCCTGTAACTTTCCACTGTCTATGAGTAAGACATGAGATGGACACGTGAGCGGGCAACTCACCCAAGAGGGCGAGACCCATAGCTCAGCATTTCTGTAAGCACGCACTGCGATGCCCTTGAGCTTCAGTAGCTCACCTCAACTCATATCGTAAGGACGTGACCTAACGTTTATTATACATAAACGCCGTCCCCTTCTCATTCACTCCTAGACAGTGAGACTTACGGTTGATATACACTCAGGAATTATATATACAACCTTTTATAATAAAACAAAGGAACTACCGTTTGGGGTTCGTTACTTAAAACCCAAATATAAATATATGTGAACGGACTGGTTAATTGGACAAGCAGCCGATTCAGACTTGGCGCACCCTCATTCGCTGTATGCTGTCAGCCCACGATTGCAGTTATCGTACAGCTCCTTCCTCCTCCCCCCACTTTTTTTCTTAGCATACCTTTGTTTTTAATGTTGTTTGGATTAGTAAAGGAAGGAAGATGAGAAAAGAGAAGAATAAAGAAGGGAAACAGAAAATAGTTAGAGATGACAGGTGGGGAGGAGACGAGTTTCATCATTCGTCTGGATGCGCAGTTTAAACGTTACCGGACCATTTTCGGACCTTTCAGCTACAGTGTGTACAGTATTCTTATTCCTGTGGCTAACTGTACATGGAAAAGGAGAAGAGATGAAAAAGATAATGACAGGAATGCATGGAGAAGATAGAAAGGGAAAAGAGAAGGAGAAGAAGAGAGACTGAAGCATTATTATCCTTAAGAGGCGAGGAAAGGAGACTGGAGAGAGGGATAGTGAGAAGTGGAGGTAGGAATGGAGGG